TTTCCTCCTCCTCCTCTTCCCCTATTCTTCATCCCCCCTTCCTCTCCTCCTATTGCTCTTCCTCCTCCTCCTCTGTTCCTCCTCTCCCCTTCCTCCTATTCTTTTCATCCTCCCTCTCCTCCTTGATCTTCCCCTCCTCCCTCTTCCCCTATTCTTCATCCCCCCTTCCTCTCTCCTGTCTCTTCCTCCCCTCTCTTGCTCTTCCTCCTCCTCCTCTGTTCTCCTCTCACCCCTTCCCTATTCTTTTCATCCTCCCCTCTCCTCCTGTTGATCTTCCTCCTCCTCCTCCTCTCCTCCTCCTCTCCTCTTCCTCCTCACCCCTAACCTTTCGACAGTGGTGTTATATAAGCTTCCTTCCCCTCCCTCTCTTATTTATCCAACACCTGGAAACTTGAAATACCTAGCCTGGCCAAGTCAATACCTTAATCATAGCTTTTTTTCTGTTTTTTGTTTCTCTAATTGCGTTTTTTTGTTTTTTCTTGTGTGTTTTTATCTCTTGGTTTCTGTTTTTTCTGATTTATTGTTTGTTTTGTTTTTTTTGGTTTTCTTTCTTTGTTTACTGCTTTTTTAGTTTCTCTCTGTGTTTGTTATCGTGTTTGTTTATTTTTCTTTTGTTTCTCTCTGTTGTTTGTTTATTGCTTGTATTTTTCTGCTTTTTTCTGATTTAGTGTTTTTTTTACTTGGTTTCTATCTTATTTATCATTAATCTTCCTCACAATAAACTAAACAAACGTGAAATAAAACAGTGACAAATAATACAAAATAATAGAATAAAAAAATACGATAATCGGAGAGACCTTGAAGGACTTACGATTTTATTCTGGTTTTAAATTTATCACGTGATTAGTTCCCATAAGCCTATTATTTTCACCTTAGATTAACCCTAAACTACCAACCCACACACCAACCCACCCAGCCACCCAGCCCACGCAACCACCAGCCCAACCCACCCTAACCCTAACCTAACTAACCTAACCTAACCCAACCCCACCATCACCCAACCCACACCCAACCCACACCCAACCCAGCGTGTTAAATCATCAGGTGAAATAAACAGGGGCGAAAAAAAATTCTCCATGTGATACTAAAATTCAACCGATTTATTCAACGTCAAAATTATACGAGAAATAAACTAAATAATTACAACTTTGAAAAGATATTAAGGAAAACATTAAGATTTATTCAGCGGAAATAAGCGCACTTGAGAGGCGAGTCGAGAATAAAGCGAAAAATTAAACTCTCTTTTATTACTGAGTGAAAAACGAAATTAAATATTTAGGATTTTTTTTTTCGTTTTCTTCTTCTTAAAAGCAACAACACCATGAAAGATTCTTCTTCCTGTTTCTCGAAAAACTTATGGGTATCTCTCTTTCTTTCTTTTTTCTCGTTATATATCTCTTTTTTTCTCTTTTTCTCTTTCTCTTTTTTATCGCACTCTCTCTCTCTCTCTCTCTCTCTCTCTCTCTCTCTCTCTCTCTCTCTGTCTGTCTGTCTCTCTCCTCCTTCTATTTATCTCTCTCTCTCTCTCTCTCTCTCTCTCTCTCTCTCTCTCTCTCTCTCTCTCTCTCTCTCTCTCTCTCTCTCTCTCTCTCTCTCTCTCTCCATCCCTATCAACCCCTCCCTATTCTTCCACTCTCTCACTCTTCATTTCTCTCTCCCTCTCCTCTCATTCTCTCCCTCTCTCTCCCTTTCTTTCCCTCTCTCTACGGGAAGAGGATATTGCCTCTCTGACGTCACGGACCAAAATTGAAGATTCGGTCTACAGATTTTTGTTGGTGAAGTCAAAAGCAAAAAACAATGAAGGGAGGATTATTTTTTTAGGGGGTTGGGGCGGGGTAGGGGGTAGAGGGAAGGGGCTGAGGGAGAGGGGAGGGGGAGGGGTGAAGGAGGAGAGGGGGGTGGGGAGCGGGGGAGATGGGGAGAGGGGAAGAGTGGGAGATGGTTGCCTACACACACTTAACCTAACCTAACCTAACCAAAAATAACCTAACCTACGCTAGCCTAACCTACCCTAAGCTAACCTAACCTAACCTAACTTATCCTAACCTAATCTAACCTAATCTAACCGAACTTAACCTAACCTAATCTAACTCCCCATGTTGAGTAAAGGTGTTTTAATAATCAGGTGAATTACAGTAAGCTGGGGTGTTTAATCTTCAGGTGATCCTTGACATCTAATACCATTGATAATAAGAATCTGGTCTGGCAAACTGTACATACCACCCGTCTCTCTCTCTCTCTCTCTCTCTCTCTCTCTCTCTCTCCTCTACATTTCTAAATCCTTTCTTTCTCCCTTTCTCTCACCTTCCCTCTCATCCTCCTGGCTCTCCTCCAACTCTCTCCCCCTCTCTCTCCCTCCTGAGGTTGCCTGGCCCTGGCCTCTGCGACCTCTTTGTTTACCTCCAGTTTATCCAGACGTGGCAACTCCCTGACTCAGTTGTCAATTGTCTTATTTTTCTCTTGTTTTGGAATAATTGCTAAGTCTCTATTTTATTTGTCTTTCTTTGTGTTGTTGATTGTCTGGAGAGAGAGAGAGAGAGAGAGAGAGAGAGAGAGAGAGAGAGAGAGAGAGAGAGAGAGAGAGAGAGAGAGAGACTTCTGTACTACCAATTTACTAGGCAAACTAATGTCTTTTTACTATGAAAAGTTACGGCTCATTTATGTGACACTTGGCTGGCTGTGTGTGTGAGAGGAAGTGATAACACACACACACACACACACACACACACACACACACACAGCACACACACACACACACACACACACTAATCAGCTGATCTTAAGATACTCAAAGAATAAGAACCTCTCCAAAAATTGACCCCAAATTATCTCAAAGACGAAGAATAGGACAGAGAAGAGAATAACAAGAAGGGTAGGGGAGAGAGGAGGTGAAAGGACAGAATGAACGACGCGTAAGAATTGATGGGAATGGAGAAGCAGAAAACATCAGTGTGCGTGAATGAGTGGATACCATGGCGGCGCCGAGTGGTAGGTTGTATGGAGGGAAGGTGGAAGAAGACGTGTGCTCTTGGTGGGTGATGCTGGCTTGTGTGAATTCATAGAGGCAAACACGAAGGGGTATTTGGGGATTTGTTGTAGAAGTAGACTTAGGAGAGTAACCTTGGGAAGAGGGGGAGGGGGGTGTAATATCTTGTAGGGAGAAAGTGTGTTTACATTTGGTCTTCTTATTAACTCATTTGCATACTGACGGGACGAGACACAAACAACTGCTTCTACACCAACGTCAAAAACTAAATCGGAAAAAAACAAAAAAAAACATCACAACTACAACATCACTACAAGACGTGCAATACTACCAAAACAAACACAATGGGGGATTAAAACAAACTCACACACCAAGAATCCGGATTTTGGATTTATATTAAAGGCATTCGTGGATACACAGGAGGTATAAATAATATTACAGGTAAACCCATTCAAAAGCATCACGTAAACACTTAGAAAACACATAGGTCGAGTAAAAAACAAACAAATAAACATTCTTGTATCATCATTCTCAAGTGTTTACAGTGTTATAAAAGCAACGTCCTAACTCCAAGTATCACAACACAAAATTCACGTCACGAAAACACAGGTCAACTCATTTGCATACTGTCACAATACCTTCTTTTTTTTTTTAAGCAATTTTCTGGGAATTTATTTTTAGCCCAGGAAGGTCAACAGGAACTTTTGGGGGTCTGTGGGGATGATCCTGGGAAAACGACGGAGACAAACTAGAGATAGAATAATAAGGAGGAATTGGAGAGACGCCAGGAAGAAGAATGAAGGAGGGAGGGAGGGAGGGAGGGAGAGAATGAGGGAGGGAGGGGATCGATATGATAGTGGTGGTAGTGCGTAATTGTTATTGTTGTTGGGGATTGTGATTGAGAGAGAGAGAGAGAGAGAGACTGAATCCTTGACATCAGCTTACAGAAACAAACTGACAAGGCCCCTCTAGGATGCCAGAACTAAATTTCTCAAAAGTTTCTTACGCAAAGTTTCCTTCCTAACTAGACCAAGGGGCGTAGATCGAGTTGAAATCTTTCCAATATAATCATCCCAGATATTACCCAGAAATAGTCCCGCTGTCTCAGATAGTACCCAGAAATTGTCAAACTGGCCAGATATTACCCAGAAATAGTCCCGCTGTCTCAGATAGTACCCAGAAATTGTCAAACTGGCCAGATATTACCCAGAAATAGTCCCGCTGTCTCAGATAGTACCCAGAAATTGTCAAACTGGCCAGATATTACCCAGAAATAGTTTAACTGGCCAGATAGTACCCAGAAATAGTCCAGTTGGCCAGATAGTACCCAGAAATAGTCCAGTCGGCCAAATAGTACCCGGATATAGTTCAACTGGCCAGATAGTACCCAGAAATAGTTCAGTCGGCCAAATAGTACCCGGAAATAGTCCAGCTTCCCCAGATAGTACCCAGAAACATCGTAGTGTACAATCAAATTTCCCTTAAAGAACAAAGTAAATTCCGTATAGTCTCACAGCATAATTTGGACGCCTTTTTAACAACAATTCTAGTGTCGTATCTTTAGGGTAAGAAAATATAAAATGATCGTAAGTTATGATCGTAAGTTATGATCGTAAGTTATGATCGTAAGTTATGATCGTAAGTTTAATTTGTGATTTAGGGAGAAAAATACAACTACAGAATTTAGTAATGATGTTTCGTGTATTATGAATTATTTTGTGTAGTGATGAATTTGTGGGTGTAGTAATTAATCTCTCTCTCTCTCTCTCTCTCTCTACCTCCCACCCCATCATTCTCTCTTTATTCCCTTCCTTCCCCCTCCTTCCTATAAATCCCCATCTTCTCCCTTCCTCTTACTCTCCTCTCCTCATCTCTTCCTTCCTCCTCCCTCCCTCCCCCCTCCTCTCCCTCTCTCTCTCTCTCTCTCCTCCCCCAACCCCTCTCTCTCTCCTTTTTTCCCTTCCTGCCTTTTCTTCTCCCTCGCCACACACACTCACTAACTCTCCCTTCTCCCTGACAGATGTGTCCAACCAGCCACCGGACCAGGAAATGGACATCTTCATGCGACAGACAAGGGTAAGTACGCGGGTTCGAGTTGGTTGCTGAAAATGTCCATCTGTGCAAGGAAACATCACCCTTCTAAACTAATCTCCCTTTGTTACAGTAATCTCCCTTTGTTACAGTAATCTCCCTTTGTTACAGTAATCTCTCTTTGTGATTGCAATCTCCCTTTGTTATAGTAATCTCCCTTTGTTATAGTAATCTCCCTTTGTTATAGTAATCTCTCTTTGTGATTGCAATCTCCCTTTGTTATGGTAATCTCCCTTTGTTACAATAATCTCTCTTTGTGATTACAATCTCCCTTTGTTATGGTAATCTCCCTTTGTTACAGTAATCTCCCTTTGTTACAATAATCTCTCTTTGTGATTGCAATCTCCCTTTGTTATGGTAATCTCCCTTTGTTATAGTAATCTCCCTTTGTTACAGTAATCTCCCTTTGTCACCATTACTGGACCTGGGGAGTACTATTAACACCCCCAGGTCCTCATTAACGGACCTAAGGAGTACTATTAACACCCCCAGGTCACCATTAACGGACCTGGGGAGTACTGTTGGCACCCCAGGTCACCATTAACGTTACCTGGCCTTCTGATAGTTAAGAATACTGGGGTTCCCTGACTTCCAGTTGCTGTCTTCTTCAATGTTTTGTTTTTTTTACATTTTTTAATCACAGTAAGTAGGTGTTTCTAAAGTCTATTCCCCTGATATTAACGTATTTCATCCTGTAAATAAAATAAAAAAAGGAAATGGTGGATTATATTTTTTCCCAGGTAAAAAGAGGTTAATGACTTTTGACATGAGTGATTGTTAAATGGCATGATATATATATGATATTTTTTGACTTGATATTGTACAGTAACATGATATAAAGTGATTGATAATGTTATGATCATTGTTGGCTCTCTCTCTCTCTAATTATTTTACATAGTGATTGGTGTTTCTCTTCCACCCTCCATCAATGTCTTCGTTATGGTAGTTACGCCAGACGAACGATCGCCCATCACTTTCCTTGCAGTTGACGTATGTATGTATGAAAGGCCAATAGATAGGCTAATTAAGACAACTCCCAGGTAAGGCTAACACGGTAATGAGATCAGGTGTATCCCTCCAGGTACAGTAGTAATCTCGTTAACGCTGACTTCATAATCCTTGCTTTGTGAGATGGACAGGTGGATTGTGGTGTTGGCTGACGCCTGACAACAACATATTCCTTGTGTTGACTTTACTATAAGCTGACATCTTTTCCTGACCTCGTAGATGTTTGTATGTCAATTCGTTTCCTTGTTGACCTGTGACCTCTATTCCTGTCTCACTGCATTATCTCTGTGTTCCTTGCTACAGTAATACAATAAACCTTCCCCCTTTCTACAAAACCTTATTAACTCTTCTCTCTCTCTCTCTCTCTCTCTCTCCCCTACAGAAACACGCACGACCAATGTTCTACATCAACTGCGGCTACAGGGATTTGTGTTACTGCTACAGCAAGATAACTCGTCACCACTATTGCTGCTCTTGTGATGTAGGCGCCTGCTTCCCCGCCCACGCCCGCCTCACCACACCCACCGGCGCCCACACCACCATGGATAGGTTAAGGACTGGCGACCAGGTGTTGGCAGGTAAGGGGGATAGACAGATCACAGTGGCACGAACTGATTCAGAAGCTGTGTTAAGGTTTTGGCAGATGACTAGTTGAGGTGGGGGGGGGAGGGAGGGAAGGAGTCAGACAACAATAGACATTAATCATATACAGAAATATAAGGCAAAGCAAAGAAGACAGAATATAGAAGAAATGTATACATAAAGAGATGCTCCTTCCCCAATACTAATTAGGAGGAATATGGAGGAGAAAAAAAAAACTCAATTACACTTCCTTGGTTGACCGACAGAACCCCTCCTCCCTCCCCACCCCCAAAAAAAAAAAAAATGTTAACCTAATTTACCTTTGAAGTTGTGTCTCGTCTCATATACCAGAAGGTTGTCATCTCAACCTGACCAAGAACCTCAACTTGACATAATTATTTTCCTTATATGGATGAAAATTTTTGTACAAATTCCACAGCTATGATGAGGATTTGTTTTTTATACAGAGAATCTATTTTTCTTTAGCATTATTTTAGTTTAGGTTAAGATAAAATATAAAAGTCATGTGTGTTTTAATGCCTGGAGAGATAATATAGAGGGTTTATGCTTAGATGGGCAGTATTGATGGTTTTTATTCCCAGGAGAGCCTCCGACACGTACTCTTCCGTGGGCCAATGTCTTGCTCTCATTCACCCCTTCACCTACTTCTCCCCGCCTCGTTGCATCCCTTCTCCCTTTTCACCCCAAATCCAATTTTCTTATTATTTTTCATTGGTAATCATAACCTAACCTAACCTATGACAATGAAACAACAGTGTTCTAGAAGCAACAAAGCCTAACCTAACCTAACACAATGCCTCAATAACATTCTAGGACAAACTATAACATTAAATCAAGTTTTATTAAGCCAGTTTTAATATAAGTCTCAAAGTTTTTTTTTAGGTTTTTTCAATAACACGTAACGAAGTGGCCACAACATTTTGCTATTCCACAATTTCTATTATATTTTTTTTCCTCCAATTTCATGAACGAATAGATTCTCGTTAATAGAGGATGAAGGTAGCAAAATAAGGCTATCCCTCAAGTCAGCTGAGGCGAAAGTCGTTGACACTGATGATGTCTTTTGGGTCTTATTTATATTGGCAGTAATGGTGGTATTTGGGAGTTATGTATTTTTATTATTAATTTAGCCATTATGAAAATTATGGCCAAGGAGAGAATGGAAGAGAGAGAGAGAGAGAGAGAGAGAGAGAGAAAACGGGAAATTTGTACCAGTGAAAAGAAAACGAAAGAGGGGGAAGAACAAATGATATTTAAAAAAAAAGACTAATGAATAGTTATTGGTGAAGAAAAATAAATAAATCCAGCACCCATAAGACAGGTTCCTTCTTCATGGGAAAGTTAGGAGTGGTAGTTAAGGGGTGTGGATAGATGGATGGATGTGGATTGGTAAATGAATGGATAGATGATAGATTAGCACACACACACACACCATGGCCTAAACCCATATTTCATATTGTTCAATCCCATGATGGCATACCTCAAGGGAGAAAATAACCCTCCATTATATATTTCCTGGTGGGGTGGGAGGGGAGGGGAAGGGAAGGAAGGGATTGATGAGCCTGTATTCCCCCCACTCAACCTCCCCTTTACTCCTATTTGTCCTCCCCTTCTTCTGACGCCCTCCCCTTCCCTGAGCGTGCTCTCCCCTTCCTGACGCCCTCCCAACGCTATTATGTATATCAACCTAAACTTAGAGAGTGGAGGGGGTGTAAGAGGGGAAGGGGTGTTGGAAGGGAGGGGGAGGGGAAGGAGGGAGGGGGAGGGAAAGGGGGGAGAGGGAGGGGCGTAAAATTGCATGTTACAGGTAATATTGGTAGCTGATGGGGTGGAAAAATGGGGTGGATGGGTGGTGTTGGGGAGGTGAGAAGAGAGGGGAGAGAGGATGGGGTGAGAGGTGAGAGAGAGAGGATGATGAGGGAAGGAGAGAGAGAAAGAGAGGGGATGATGAGGGAAGGAGAGAGAGAGAGGGGATGATGAGGGAAGGAGAGAGAGAGAGAGAGGGGATGATGAGGGATGGAGAGAGAGAGAGAAGGATGAAAGAGAGGAAGGGAAAAACGGAGGGTAGGAGAGGAGAGATAAGAAGAATTTAATATCGAAGGGGAAGAATAGTTGAAGGGAGAGAGAGAGTGAGTGAGGGATGGGGTCACGAGGCACACACACACACACACACACACACACACACACACACACACACATTGTCTGTTCATCAACCTGATTACCTGAAGATTAGGCCTATGTCACTTAACCTAACCTAACCTAGCCTCCTGAAATAGCGTTAGTGTGTGTCTTTATTTATTTGGTAACTCATTCATTGATTTCTTTATTCATTAACTCATTTATATGTCCATTAACTCACAAATTTATTCATTAACTCACTTATTTCCTCACCTGACAGTGGATGAGTCTGGGGAGGTCGTACCCAGCACTGTCCTCGGCTTCATGGACCGCCGTCCCCAAGAGACCGCCCTCTATGTTACGTTGCGCACTGCGAGTGGCCAAAACCTGACACTCTCGCCCAATCATGTTCTTTTCAAGAGCGCGCCAAATTCAAGCCATCCAATCAGCGTCTTCGGCTCGGATGTCAACATTGGTGACGTCATATTTTCAGCCAATCAGACTGGACTTCAGCGCACTGAGGTTGTGGCCATCGAACACGAAGTTACACAAGGTGAGATTAATGGATTGGGTTAATTGCCTAACCTAACCTAACCTAAAATAAATAACAAAGATTCAATCATTTCATCAACAAACTTCAAACACTTTATAATTTCTTCCTTTATTCTCCTCTCTCACCTCATTCCTCCTCCCTTTCCCCTTCCCCCCTTCCCCTTCCCCTTTCCCTTCCCCCCTTCCCCTTCCTTCCTTCCTACCCTTGTGAAAGAAAAAAAAAAGTTGTATTTATTTTCATCTACTACAATGACTTTCTGCATAATTAACATCTTTTTAAGTGTTTACAAGTGTTTCTAAGTAATAATCGTCTCTTAAGTAGTAATTGCTGGAGTCCTTTCCATCACGATAACTTTATGACTTGATATAATAATTCTTCCAAGATTCATTTTACACTACGGAAAAAATACATAGTTAAAATCAAGAGTTTATTTACATGTATTATTGCAACATATATGTCTTCGTTTGACAGGCAGAGTGTCGTTCATCCTGTCTTGGTATCTATCTATATATGTCTGTCTGTCTGTCTTTCTGTCTGTCTGTCTGTCTGTCTGTCTGTCTGTCTGTCTGTCTGGCTGTCTGTCTGTCTGTCTGTCTGTCTGTCTGTCTGGCTGGCTGTCTGTCTGTCTGTCTGTCTGTCTGTCTGTCTGTCTGTCTGGCTGGCTGGCTGGCTGTCTGTCTGGCTGGCTGGCTGTCTGTTGCATATTTATATATCTAAGACCGCACATTCACTTGTTAAGAAACATGATGTATTCTTCCTGAGAATTTATATATTTATTTTGTGTATCCTTCAGGAGCTTACGTGCCCCTGACGAAGGAGGGCACACTGCTGGTGGAGGGTATGATGGTCTCCTGCTACGCTTCCTACAGCCACTCCCTCGCCCATAGCTTCCTGGCTCCTGCCCGGGCATTCCCCATCTTGCTGTACCTCAGACCAGGGTTCGCATCCCGCCTGATAGCCTCAGTGGAGACCCTAGCCGCCAGCGCCCTCAGGAAGATGCTAGGCGTCCTCCAGGAGTTAGTAAGAGGAGTCGTTGGGGAAGCATCAGCAGACAGCGCCCTTGGGAAGGTTTTAGGACCTGTTCAGGGATTCATAGGTAGCGTAGGGAATATGCCATCATACAACACCATCAGGAAGGTGCTGGGAGTTCTTCAGAAGCTCGTAGGAAGGAGCGTCGTGAAAGATGCTGCATCAGGAAGCAGTGTGATCCCTAAGGTGCCAGATGGGGATAAGGAAGGAGGACCTACTGGGACCGGTGGCACTTGTGGGGAGGACATTGTAGGGGAGGACGTGGCTGACGAGGGCGAGGTAGGAGAGGCGTACTACATCAGTCTGGTGAAGGTGGTGGGCTGGGTGATGTACCGGAAGGAGCGGGCCGACCCCCAGGTGCTGCAGGTGAGGGTAGTAGCCGAGGGAGGGCTACTGCAGACACTGGGGGTACCTTCATCCCTCCCTCAGTGGGCCTCCACCATTCTGAGTCTCTTGACGAGGTCTTGGTAACGTTACCTGGCCGCCACTTGGTGGAATCCACGTGTATGCGGGCATGGCGTTTTGCTCATTGGTTCCTGCCTGCCGTGACGTATTACCATCTCTCCCCACTTTCCTCCCCCGTCCTAACTAAATTTATCTATAACCTAATTCTAAACTTGAACCAACACAAACAAACCGAGTTAAGCCTAGCCAAACCTAACCTAACCTAACCTAACCTAACTTAACTTAACTTAACTTAACAACCTAACAACTAACAACCAACAACAACAACAACAACAACAACAACACAACAACACAACAACAACTAACTAACTTAACTAACAACTTAACTTAACTTAACTTAACTTAACTTAACTTAACTTAACTTAACTTAACTTAACTTAACTAACTTAACTTAACTTAAACTAAGCGTAATAGTGGTGTGATGCTTACAAGCTGACGTTGAGCTCCAATGAGCACAGGAGAGTGCCCTCAAACAAGTGGATTTTGCTTGTTAGTGCCCCATATACCCCGCCAGCCACTCGATTCCCTCACCGTTCATTCAAGGTGGCCACCGAGGCTGACTTTCAAGGTAGCCGCCGAGGCTGACCTTCAGCGTAGCCGCCGAGGCTGACCTTCAAGGTGGCCGCCGAGGCTGACCTTCAAGGTGGCTGCCGAGGCTGACCTTCAAGGTAGCCGCCGAGGCTGACCTTCAAGGTAGCCGCCGAGGCTGACCTTCAAGGTGGCCGCCGAGGCTGACCTTCAAGGTGGCCGCCGAGGCTGACCTTCGGTGGCTGCCGAGGCTGACCTTCGCTGCAGGCCGCCGAGGCTGACCTTCAAGGTGGCCGCCGAGGCTGACCTTCAGGTGGCCGCCGAGGCTGACCTTCAAGGTGGCCGCCGAGGCTGACCTTCAAGGTGGCCGCCGAGGCTGACCTTCAAGGTGGCCGCCGAGGCTGACCTTCAAGGTGGCCGCCGAGGCTGACCTTCAAGGCAGGCTGCCGAGGCTGACCTTCAAGGTGGCTGCCGAGGCTGACCTTCAAGGTGGCCGCCGAGGCTGACTTTCAAGGTGGCCGCCGAGGCTGACCTTCAAGGTGGCCGCCGAGGCTGACCTTCAAGGTGGCCGCCGAGGCTGACCTTCAAGGTGGCCGCCGAGGCTGACCTTCAAGGTGGCCGCCGAGGCTGACCTTCAAGGTAGCCGCCGAGGCTGACCTTCAAGGTGATAGCCGAGGCTGACCTTCAAGGTGATAGCCGAGGGTGACCTTCAAGGTGGCCGCCGAGACTGACCTTCAAGGTGGCCGCCGAGGCTGACCTTCAAGGTTGGCGCCGAGGGTGACCTTCAAGGTGATAGCCGAGGGTGACCATCCTCACTGACGCTCCGAGACACAGGGAGAAGAGAACTCGTGACCTTTTTAACCATGCCAGGGAGGAACCAAACCAGAAACACATTAATATCTCCTCCATCAGTACCGTATTAACCAATCAATACCCCGTGTGCACGGCGCCTCACCATCACATATTAGCCCCTAAAACATCTAGTCTGAGTTAGTGTATCCGGCAGACATTAAGAATAACGGTCTTCACCATTTACGTCTTAGAAGAATATATGAACCTTACTGGTAAAAAGATTAAGTACGTACTGGTGTGGTCACCCGAGTGAATGAGTTTACAGAATCAGTACACACACACACACACACACACACACACACACACACACACACACACACACACACACACACATTCTCACTTGCGATAAGTTACACTAAATCGTGAAAAAGAGAATAAATTAATAATTTTAACTTGAGATCTGTTTCTTTTTAAATTCGAAGATAACGAAACGAGATCTGTTATGATGGTTTTGAAAATATTGATACAACACTTAAAAAAAATTTCACCATCACATGACTTCACAAAAGTAAACTATGACTGAAGTATTATTATTCACACACCTTGTAAACTGTTTAAACCGTAAACCTGTACCAGATTTTGGGGGCATCAACTGTTCCACAAAATTATTAAAAATCAATCAATCAATAAATGTATATATATATTATAATTCTTTAGTTATTCAATTCCTCTACATTTCTGATATACCAAGAGGAAACATTTATCAAAAACAAGATTCCAACATTATTTTGGAAGGATAATAATAACAAAGATATATAATTATTTACGTTAGTTGTGTGGGTGATGGTGTGGGTGAGTAACTGAGGAACTAAATATACTAAATAATCAATTAGTAAATATGAGTAACTTCAAGCTTGTCAGTAACTCATACGACAAACAAACGGAAAGATGATGAATTGTTTTTGTTTTAATGAAGGAAAAGAAGAATAGTTGTTTGATCTAGTGTAAACAAATAGATTGAGTATTGGTGGTATTGTTTTCATTCGACCTGTACTGACTATGTGTCGAATGTGTATAGTAGATACGTTTGGTGTAAGTCGATTTATATACCGTTTAGAAATATTCTCTCAGTGAGTCAGTCAGATACTCACTCGCTGACTTCAAGACATACAGCGAGTCAATCAGTTAGGCAGTGAGTCAATTAAGTCAGTACAATAAATCAGAGAGTAAATCATTTAATCAGTTCAGGGTCAGATACTCAGCCAGTCAAAGAGTCAGGTACTGAGTCAGTGAGCGAGTCAGTCAGTTGACACAGTTGACTGACTCGGGTAAAATGGTTGTCGCTCTCCGTACTACGCTTATATTGTCTCAGTGAAGTTATGTGTCAATTATAAATAAAAGCATACCTCACTTACATGTGTTTTATTATGGCCTCTCTCTCTCTATCTCTCTATCTCTCTCTCACTCTCTCTCTCTTTCTCTCTCTCTCTCAAATCAAACTTGTCAGGCACTTGTTTGAGTATAAGAAACAGGAAACAGAAACACACAGGCAATACTGTTGTCTTGTGTTTTATTAATTCTTTTATATAAACACAGTGATGCCAAATGTAAGGTTAAGATAAATAGTTCAGCAATGTATTACTTGGGGGAGATATATGTATATGTATTAGTGCATTACTGTAATCACTGACGTCGTTTCCGTAAGAGGCCTAATGGTAAAACATATTGACAGATGAATTTAACGTCACAACAGCGCCTCTGGTGGTTAGATAGACTACTAGTAGCCCGTGGTGTAGTTCTCGACCTTACCGACAGGTGACACCAACTCCGAGACCGTAAATTGTAAGGTGATGACTAGATACGTGGCCACGAAGCTCGTAACCTGAAAATAAATACACAATAACTTATAAATCTCATCTATGATTTGCCAACAAATATGAAGGTTTAGTTATAAAAATATTCTATAGCATAAAGTTGACGTCATTTCACATGCACATTTATAAAAAGATAAATTGTAACATCTGTATTTATTTACCATCTGCAGCTTGTAGGCAGTCCTCCAGGGTGAAAGGCACAAAATGCTGGAAAATTACCACGAACAGGATTGCTGACTAATTTATTTTCAGACGACAATGAACAATTACTAAACTTAACCTAATTTAAATTCCTAATTGAACGATCCTAGGATAGTTATAGGTAGATGCATAGCTTAGTTCTCGTCGCCTACTTTGATAAATTAATAAATATATAGATATCATGGCCATTTTTGTGATACTTCCTCAACATTGTACAGTTTGCCTCCATTGTGACATTGTCTTGTTGGTGTGAGTGTACAGGACGATGGGGTGATAAAAATTATAATCACGCTGTTCGAGTGAGTCCCCTGAAGGCTGCCATAACTACACACATGAAGGTAATTAGCCAGATAACATATAGTGAAAGTGTGTGAGAAGATACTACCTTACTTGAAGTATAATTCGCAAGCTGATGATACACGCTTGACCAGAGATTTAGTTTATCACCAATTTGTCCCGGTATTATTGCATAAATTCATCCGGTATTTAATTTTTAGACATTAATGGTTGCCAATCATTAGCTTAGACCATTTGAGACACTATTTTTCTATGATGTTTGCATCACAAATGATTTATATAAGCCAGGTGCCCCCCTCCCCAGGTGAGGAGGCGAACTAGGTAGGTCGCTTGAGAGAGAGACGTCGTAGAAGAAAAGTGTCTTAGAATGGTCTAAACTATTGATTGCAAGCATAAATGTCACAAAATATAAAACCGGGTGAGGTATGCAGATTTCCTTTTGTACCACCTGACAAACATCGTAGCTAACACCTGATTGACAAGATTGTGATGCGTGCGTTGCCACTTGTTAACATCGCAATAACACACGTGGCAAGTATACAATACATTGTTGAGTGTTTGAAGGCGTTGTCGGTTTTCTTAATATGCTTGTTTAAAAGAGACAATTATTGAAGTATTTGGCCGAAAGATAACTCATAAAGTGATACAGTAAATATATTCGATTTGTTGTATTGTGACGATTTTGTTCTGTATACAGGACACACCCTGTACCAGTCCTCCCATTTTCTATTGATATCACGTATCCCCCAACCCAGACAACTTTGTGTGAACTGTACAGTATGGTGGAGAGTGATCGATTTATTCAGTTTGTGTGTGGGGGGGGAGGGTGACCTCTGGTGTAAAGGTCAGCATACTCGCCTCGCAAACGAGCAAACCCTGGTTCGACCCCCGGGCAGGGTGAAACCATGGCCAAGTTTCTTTACACCATTTGTCTCTGTCTATCCAGTAGTAATTGTGAACCTGGATGTTAATCAATTTGCGGATCGTGTCGGGGTAATGGTTAGCCTGTGCAGTTGGCGAGTTGTCCGGTCTTCTCGGATTATTCCTTGACACTGGGTCATGCAATTCGTTATTTTTTTTTTTTAATTAACCCACCCGGGCACAGGTCAAACGACCCACAACGGGGCCTGGTTGTCGTGTTGGCGACAGCTTCTACACCTTAACAAATTCACGCTAAGGTGGCCCTAGGGCCGGCCATCCTCATTACACGAGGGACAACCATTATACGAGTATGTGTGTGTGTATGTGTTTATTGACGTATCGTTGGATGTGTGTATGTGCTGGTGTGGGTATACAGTCGGGGACAAAAGTTCGACCACCGTGGTGAAACTGAGTCACGGGAATGAGTCTCCGAACTGACTTACCCTGACTGCAGGTGTGCTGTTTTATCTAGTTTGGGGATCGACGTCGCTTTATTTTGGGAGGGAGCGAACTTTTGACCCCTACTGTACAATGAAAGACAAAAGTCGTGTCTTGAAATTTGGTGAAAACATATGCCGAAGGGCTGAACTTTTGTCGCGCTCTGCCTTGTGGTAAGGCTCTCATAATGCTTCACGAGTTATATTTAACCTTCGGACAAAACCGCGACACGTCTTTTGTCTTTGATTCTACATGCCTGTCTGTATGTCAACATTTGCACCGATGTGTGTATTGTGTGTACATACTGTACGTGTCTTTATGTATGTACGTACCTGAGTAAGTTTTTACTTATATATGAACATGTGTGTAGTGTATGTCTGTCTGTCTTTGTAGGACAACGGAAACAAGGGTGAGCGTTCGTACGTCAGTCTGCTCGTTCTTGTATACTGTACCTGGCAAGAGGTCATCAGATGGAACCAGGAGAGGAGTTCGGGTTTCGGTCACTCTACCATGACCCTCTGACCCTGTATATGTGTCTGTGTGTCTGTCTATCAGCCTATCAGTGTATTTGTTTGTCTGTCTGTGTGTACGTCCTGTGTAGATAAGGTACCAGAATGAAGTACTTACGGTCAGGAAAGTTTGGCGATCCAGTGTAAACATTCGACACACTCTGAATTCTGTTCCCATTCTCACGATCTCCTCCACCAGCTGTACCTGTAGGGGGGGGGAGAAGATACCTGTGATTAATGTATGTATCTCTCTCTCTCTCTCTCTCTCTCTCTCTCTCTCTCTCTCTCTCTCATATGGAAGCCAGATGTATTTTCATCAGTGTACTTGTCAGGGTGCACTAACGAAATACTTATGATTACCTCTCTCTCTGTTTTTACCTCCTCTTTTACCCTCCTCTCTTTCAAACTGGTGGTGTAGTCCCTACTCACTCTCCTCCAACATAGGAACCTTCGACAAGCATCTCTCTGTAAAAGACATTAAAAGTTTTATTACTAGACACTACTGGCGGCGGGTATACCAAGTCGTGTACAGGATACCTTTTTATTATTCACTTTTGACCCTGACCTTTGACCTTTTCTTACCTTTGACCTTTTTTTCCCTTTGACCTTACCTTTTGACTTACCTTTGACTTCATTTACCTTTGACCTTTTGACCTTCACGAGAGATATGGAGGATGGAGTAGGTGGATGGTATTAAAATTCGACTGGATACCGTGAAGATTAGACGCCCCAGGTAATTTCACCCGATGATTAAACACCCTAACGCTAACTGAGGGTGGTTAGGTTAGGTTAGGTTAAGTTTGGGTTTGTTAGGTAAGCTTAGATTAGGTTATAGGTAAGGTTATGTTAGATTAGGTAATAGGTTAGATTTGATTTGGTTATTTATGAGGTTAATTTAGATTAGGTAAAGTTGGATTTAATTTCTTTAAGATTAGGTTAGACTTCCTTAGATTAGGAAAGAGAGAACTATCATTAGGGTGTTGAACCATCAGGTGAAATAAGCTGGGTACCTAATCATCACGTGATCCGTTCAACTAAATGGAAATAAATAACATAAGTGTGGCATAATGAGGATCGTTGATGAGCCTTAAATTGAGAATAAAATGAGGTAATCAATCAGCTTTCA